TTTCCCAGCACCATTTATTGAACAGGGTGTCCGGTGCTCAGTTTATGTTTTTGTATGCTTTCTCAAAGATCAGCTGGTTGTAAGTATTACCCTTTATGTCTGGGTTCTTCGTGTTCTATCTGTCTATGTATCTATTCTTACACCAGTACATGCTTTTTTTGTTACTATAGCCTTGGTTGTAAGTATTTGCCTTTATTTCTGGGTTCTCTATGTTCCATCTGTTTTGTATCTATTCTTATACCAGTACATTTCTTTTTGTTGTTGTTGTTATTATAGACTTGTAGTATAATTTTAAGATTTGTTCTTTCTGCTCAGGATTGCCTTGGCTAGCTAGGCTCTTTTTAGGTTCCACATTAATTTTGGGATTGTTGTTTCTAATTCTGTGAAAAATAAATTTGGCATTTTGATAGGAATTGCACTGAATTTGTATATTTCCTTGGGGAGTAATGATGGCAACGGCAGTCCATCTGGAGTAGCTTCTGTGAAGACGCCAGCTGCAGCAGGGGAGGCAGCCGGAGCATCGTGCTCCACAGAGTCAGAGTGGGCCAGGAACAGGCAGAAGCCCTGCCCCGTACTAAGTTGGCAGGGTGGGAACCCTGCATTGCCAGGAACAGCTGCAGCCACGCTGCTCTGGCTTCAGACCTGAGTATCCCTGTGTTTGGGTGCCCAGGAAACCCCTTGCCCCCCTCATGCTTTAAAGTGCCTGCTCTTGCTCCCTGCCTCTCCCACTCCAGGGCGAAGCAAAGTTGTGGCTGAGCCCGGGCACTATTGCAACCCAGCCAGGTGTGTGCACACTCAGGCAGCACTAACACACCAGCCCCCTGCTGCCTTGGCCTCCTCTGGATTTTGGGTACCAACAAGCATGGGAGGGAGGCTGTGGGGGATGCTGAGGATGGCTTGCCATGGACCTGCAGGCACCTCTTGGCACATACAGCCTGGGAGCCTTGAATGGTAGAAGACAGCAAATTCCCGGGCAGAAAGGGGCAGGTCTCCATCCATCTTCAAGCCAGGGATGGCCTGGGATGCCAGTTCTGGGTGGAGTCTATAGCCTGGAGTGAGAATTTAATGTTGCTTTTTCTGGGCCCTCCATGGCCACCCATGGGCCAATCAGTATGCACTTTTTTTCTGAGCCCATGAAAACCCCAGACTCAGCCAGACTTAGACTCCAACCACCAGCTGAAGGAAGGAGCTACCAAATTCAAATCTTCCTGACTCATTGGGACAACCTGCCTGTGGAAAGGAGCTCCCCAGTATGTGTCTCCTCTCCACTGAGAGCTGGACCCTTGTCAGGAGGACCTGCTTGTGAAAAGAAACTACCCACTGCAGGTCTCCTGAGAGCTGTTCTGTTGCTCAATGAAGCTCCTCTCTGCCTTGTTCATCCTTCAGTTGTCAATGTACCTCATTCTTCCTCTATGTGGAACAAGAACTCAGGACCACCAAAGGATGGGACTGATAGAGCTGTAACATAAACAGGGCTGAAACACATCCCTCTTCCACATTGCGGGCAGCCCTTTAGGAAGCCCAGACCTAGGGGCTGCTCAAGCCAGGGCTATAATGCCCTCTTCAGGGCTCTATGGTTTCTGGCATCTCCAAGCTTTCAGACACCACCACACTCCCCCTGTTCAGATGCAGGTACCCACAGGGGAAGCTACTTGTGTTACCTCTGATCCAGTCACAGCCTCGCACAGAGCCAGGATCTGTGCTTGCACCTTGAGCTGCCTGCCCTGCTGCAGCAGCCAGTGTGCCTGGCTGTGTGTCATGGCTGGACCTTATTCTCACTTGCTTATACACCCCTTGCTGCTCTGTACCTGGCTCGCCCTTGGCAGGTGTGAGTTCCAGGCCAGGAGCTCAGTAGAAGGACAGCCTGCCAGGCAGAGTTAGCAGAATGAGTCCAGCAGATGTGAGCGATACTCAGACAGAAGGCCACAGAGGTTTCAGGCTGGCAAAGCAACACCCCAAGGATCCTGGGACAGTATGGCCAGTTTCGCAATACTGACTCTTCCCATCTGTGAGCAGATTTAAATAAAATTCTGTATTTTTAAATTTTGAATTGCTTTTGGAATGAGTTAAGACTTGGGGTGCTATTCAGATTGAATTAATGTATTTTTTATGTGAGAAGGACTTAAATGTTGGAGTCCTGGGCCAAAATGTTATGTTTTATATGTGTCTCTTCCAAAATTCAGTTGTTGCCATGTGGTAGCTTTAAGAGGTGATTAGGCTATAAGGGCTCCTTCTTTGTTAATGAAATTAAGGCTTACATAAAAGGCTTCCTGCAGCATTTGGCTAGCTTACTCCCTTTCCCATCTGCCTTCTACCATGTCAGGATGGAGCAAGAAGGCTCTCACCAGACTGTAAACGCTGCCACCTTAATACTGGACTTCCCAGAGTCCAGGAATGTGGAAAAATAAATTTTTATCCTTTATAAATTACCCAGCCTCAGGTATTCTGTTTTAGAAGCACAAAATGGACTAAGTGCATAGAATGCATTGGTTTTCCATCACATTGTTTAAGTATTGTCCAGTTTACAGCATAGTACTTGAGGTATGGAATATCAAGGATTTTCCATCCTCTTCTGGGGGAAGGGTGAGGGCATTTTTGATTTTACTAAGAATAGAAATATCATGTTAGGTAGAAGTTTGATCTTATTTTTGTTTTTGTTTGGAGATTAAGTATGGTTTAAGGAGATGGATATGACTGCCAGAATGACAAGGGGTAGACTCATGTTGATTAAATTTAATGTGTCAAATGGGCTATGACATGCTTATATTTGGTTAAACATTAATTTCTGTGTTACTCTAAGGATGTTTTTGGAGAGATTAACATTGAAATTGGTGGCATTTGAGGAATGCTTTGTGCCCTCCATAATGTGGGTTGGCCTTATTCAATTAGATGAAGGTTTGCATGGAGCAAAAAGACTAGCCTCTCCAAAGCAAGAGTTATTTCTCCATCAGACTGCCTTCGGATCTTGTCTCCATCACCAGCTCTTCCTGGTTCTGCAGCATATTGCCCATGGGCTCCAACTAGATTATCAGTAATCCTGGATCTTCAGCCTGATGACCCACCCTGCAGACTTTGGAACTGCCAGCCTCCCAAAATCACACGAGCCAATTCCTTGTGAAGAATGCCTCCCCCACCACCCTTCCTCCAGCCACCTCTCTTGCTCATACATCCTATGGTCTGTTTCTCTGGAGAACCCTGACTAGCACATGCCCTTCTTTGGGTCTTCTGAGCATTTTGTACCTACGATTTTATGTTTTCTTATTTTTAGATAAGGCTTGACCATTTTGTCTTCGAATGTTTATTCTGATCCATTCTCCTCTGACTCTTGTTCTGAAACACTACCTGTATTTATATTAGACTGTTTGATGTTGCCATGCAGTTTTTTGATACCTATTATTTTCAGATTTTTTTCTTTACTTTTCCCTCTGGTTAATTTATTTTGCTTTATCTGCAAGTTCACTAATACTTTTCGCACGTTACTGAATCTACTGATAAGCTGTGAAAGAAATTCTTTGTCTCAGATATTGTGAGTGTGAGCATGAGCTTTTATTTAAAGGATTTTATTGAACGCTTTCTTATATTTTCTATTTCTGATATTTCTCGCATATTCATGCATGGTGTTTACACTCTCCACTTAAGTATTATCCACTTCATAGCACAGTAATTTGTAGTGCTCCTTAGTCAAAGACAACCAGCAACAAAGGTTTTTGAAGAAGTTAATTTAATTTAATTTAATTTAATTTTTTTTGTAAATGCTTGGTGGGGGCCTCCAGAGAAGAACTTGGGAGTGAATGCCAACTCTTCTAGGACTTCCTGATTTTCCAATAACTCTCACTTGGCCTTTAACATTACTTAGTTTTAATTTGATTTCTTCTTATCTGTTTGTATGATGAACAAATATTTCTCATACTCTGTGCCCATGGAGAAAGAAAGAGATGTTCAGGCATCTCATCTCCATTTGAAGTAACTTGGACCTTCTTGGAATTCAGATTTCTTGGATGTTTTCAACCTTGGTTCTCTGAGAGACTGATGAAAAGTTATAATTTTATAGATCACTTGGCTTTTTAAATCGTTAGAATGAGAAGAATGTACTTTGCTGCTTTCCAAATCCCATGTAGAAGTAGAAGTTCTGTACATGATTTAAAATCCTACCCAATATTGTGATTTCAAATGTTTTCTTTCTGGATAATTCCCCATTCACCACTGCAATATTCTTCTGGAGTTTTAGTTCTACGCCTTAAAAATATAATGGAACTTCAGAGTCAGCATACATATAACTGATCTTAACGACTCAACTCCTACCATATCCGTCTTTTTTCTTTATCTCCTTCCTTTCTCTTTCCTTCCTTCTCCTTTTTCTGTCTCTCTGTCTTTTTTCTTTCCCTCTCACTTTTTCTTTTTATCTTTGTCTTGTTTTATCATATAGGCTCAAAACTTGAAAACTCAACAGGTCTCAATAAATAAAATGAATTGTCAAATCCAGATGAAATTTCACTTTCAATAACTTATTTTTAATGAATTTTAAAATTTATAATTGACAAAAAATAATTGTACATATCTATTTATGGAGTACACCGTGATGTTTCAATGTATGTATACATTGTAAAATGATAAAATCAAGGTAATCAGGATATCCATCACTTTAAATAATTATCATTTATTTGTGGAATAACATTTAAAATATTCCTTGCCAGCTATCTTATAACACATATTACACTGTTACTGCCACAGTCACCTACTGTGTAATAAAACATTAGAACTTACTTTTCCTGTTTAATTGTTATTTCATACCAATCAACCAGCCTCATTTAATCTGTCTTCACTACCCTGTGCAGCCTCTGATAACCACATTTCTTTTCACTTACTTTTTACTTCTATAAAATTAATTTTTTTATTCTACATATAAGTGAGATCATGCAGTATTTGTATTTCTGTGCTTGGCTTATTTCGCTTACTTATTCATCCATGTTGCCACTTTTATTCTGTTTATTTCTCAAGAGTATTCCACTGTGTGTGTGGTGCGGAGGAGGTGACACTTTCTTTATGTATTCATTTGTAGATAGGGATTTAGGCTTATTCCATATCTTGCATACCGCAAATAATGCTGCCATAAACATTAGAGTGCAGATACCTCTTTGACATACTGATTTCTTGAAACTTCTACATCTCAATGAATGGAATGAGTGGCCAAATCCAGTGGAAACCACATTTCCAAAACTTTTAAAATACATTCCTTTTCCTTCTTATTTCTGCCACAGACTTAAGGAAGAACTTCAGTACTGTCCGTCATGCTCTCTGGAGGATGACTAATAAAGTTGGCAAAGTGGAAAGATAAATCTGTTCTTTCATTCCATGTATAACAAGCTTAAAAACAGGAACCCTGTAATAGACAGCTTAGACGTGAATCTTGACATCATCCTTTAGAGCTATGTGGTATTGAACAAATTACTTAAAATTTATGTGCTGCTGTTTCCTCAACTTTGTTAAAAGGTATTACTACAATCACTTCCTGAAGTTATGATAATTACATAAGTTAATGTAGTAAAAACATTCATATGATTGTCCAGTACCCAATAAGCATATGTGTTAATTATTGGTATTAAATATAATTCATTCATGTACTCACTATTTATTTAATAAATATTTTCTCAGTAAATCATAAGTTCCAGGTACTCTTTTAGGACTCAGGGATACAATTTTGAGGACACAGAGGCCCGATGTCTTCTTTTATGCCAGTTACAATGTCAGCATCATGGTAGATCTGGATAGTATAAACCGCGTGCTAAATGGCAACTGTGATAAGTGAGAGAGGCTCTATGGGGTCAGACTGAGTCAAATAATTCTTTTGGAGGGAAAGGTAATTGAGCTCAGATGTGTAATATAATGTTTTATTGACAGAAGAGTTAAATATACCATTTTTCACATTGACCTGAACAAATGGCAGGTCATTGGCAACTGCTTATTCACATCATTTTTTTTCTAATTGATTAAGATAAAGAGAGAAATAGAAAACTTTTCATGCTGGTTAATTTGACAAGTTCTGAATGAATTTGTTGAATGAATTACTAACCAGATATTTTTAGGCATATGTCAGTGCATCATTTTACCTAGTGCTCACCTATTTCTTTCTCAAAGAATGACCATTTTTGTTAATTTGAAAGAGAAAAAAAAAAAAAAAAAAAATAGCAACCTTAACTAAAGTGTTACCTAACTATTTTGACACCATAATTTGAAAAACCCTCCAAAAAGATTAATGATGCTGGAATTCTGCAGAAATTTTAAACTTTGTGAGTAAGCTATTTAGATACATTTTTGAAGCAGATATTATTTTCTTCCAGAACATTCTCCTCAAAAGACCAGAAAACTAAATTTTAAGATTCTGTATGTTCAAATAGCTTATTTTTATAAGAAAATTTTGTCTACAGTGTAATCAGTGTTTTGTTTCTAAAAATAGTTTTATTTCTTTAAGAGGAAATTTAGTACAGATATTGACTGCAAGCATTTGCTTGTTCAAATAGAGAGGGTTGGGTTCTTTTTACATAATTAATTAGTGAATATTAGAAACTGATGTCTGAAATTTTCAGGATGGTTACTATGTTATGATTGGATCATTATTATTCACATAATAAATATGTGGAAGGACAAGTGCGTATTTTATTGAAAAGACAATTTCCACTTTTAATGAATCTTTGGATAAACAAATGTTGTAACAAAACTTACTAAAGCAGAGTATGTAAAGTAGAGCCAATGTGAGTAGACATAAAACAAAATAATTTCCATTCCGTGGGCTTGCTCACTATGTGCAAACTTTGAGGAAGAATGACATTGCAGTCATTTCTCATAAATAGAGTAGATAGAGGATAATGGAGGACTACAAAGTGAGAAAGGATGCTAGTTTGTCAGACCTTAGAGCAGTCATTTACACATACATCGTAGTTTCATTTCTGGGGTACAGTGTTTTCTGAGCCTTCAGAACACTCTCAATAAATATTAGCATATAGAACACGTATAGTTTCAGAATGAATACAATCAATTTCAGTGTTTGAAAAGGGACAAGGAAAGCATTTAAGACTGGAAAAAAATGTATGGTGTAGATGTAAACACAGTAAAAGGCATGTTTAGAAGCTTGAATAGATCTCAGTTTATGAAGGCACACTTAGGGAAAATAAAGTAAAATTTGGGAATTTCTTCTTAGGGCTTATAGAAAGAGGAAGTTACTCCACAATGAATACTAAAAACCTTTTATAAGCAATGTAAGCATTTATCAGTTCACAAGATTCTGCAGGATTCACTTACTAGTTACTGATGTATAACTGACTTTTACTTAGTGTGAACGCTGTCAACAGCAATATCTTTGTATCAAATAATACTTAATATAGATCTCTAAACAAATTAATTAGCATGTATATGATGCAGTTTATCTAAATTTGAAAAAAATGCTGCATTGGTAGGCTAATTAATGCCTTTTTGAAAATATTCTTTGATATGCAAGTACTTTAAAATATGGAGATGTGGACTCTGACACTCAACATTTTGTTCAGGTTTACTCAATTTTACAGATGTAATTTATGTAAGAACCAGTTTCTCACAAGCAATCTTTTGATTGCCCACTTTACATCTTTGTTCCTCAAACTGTAGATGATGGGATTCAGCATGGGAATCACAATAGTGTAAAATATTGACACTATCATGTCATGGTCTGAAGCATAACTAGAACTTGGTCTCATATAACTGAAGAGAATTGTTCCATGATAAATTGTCACTCCAGTTAGGTGAGAGCCACATGTAGAGAACACCTTATGCCTTCCCTCAGCAGAATGCATCTTCAGAATGGCCAACAGAATGAAACCATAGGAGATCAGGACAATCAGGATAGTGACTATCTCAATAAAGCCCACAAAGTAGAAGAGTAGAAGCTGGTTTATGTGAGTGTCAGAACAAGAAATAGCAAGGAGAGGAGGCATATCACAAAAGACATGCTGAATTTCATTGGATCCACAGAAGGACAGGCTAAATGTAGCCACTGTATGTATAGTAGCATGTAAAATGCCAGCAAGATAGGAAGCAGTGATGAGTGGTACGTAGACTCTGGGTGACATGCTCACTGAATACAGGAGCGGGTTGTAGATGGCTACATAGCGATCATAAGCCATTGCAGCCAAGAGAAAGCATTCTGTGGTTCCAAAAGCAACAAAAAGAAGCATCTGTGCTGCACATCCAATAAATGAAATGGATTTATTTTTTGCCAGGAAATTGACCAACATTTTTGGAGTGACAACTGTAGAATAGCAGACATCCAAGAACGATAAAACACTAAGAAAATAGTACATGGGGTTGTGGAGCCGGGAATCCTCAATGACCAATACAACCAGCCCTAAATTGCCTATTAAAGTAAACAGATAGATTGCAAGAAATAGTAAAAATAGGAAGACTTGCAGCCCAAAATCATCTGTGAAGCCTGTCAATATAAACATGGTGACTTTGGTTTTGTTCTTCAATGGAATCCCGTGTATATCCAAACCTGATGACCGCTTGTCCATTTCAGTTTTTCCTTATAGATTATAAAGGTTATAGCCTGTGAAAATAGAGCCCACTCAGTTACAGCCTAGTTTTTTCCTTAGGGCGTAATAATTTCCCTGGTAGTAATGGAATAGACAATGAAGAAGGAATTGGACCCAAATGCATGAATTTCATTGTATAAGTAAAAGGAAAAAAATAATGTGTAATTCATTTCTTGGCTAAATTTATCATGCTTTAAAAAACCCTGCTAATTAAATTGATTTTATTTTCTCGTTAATTTTCACTTGAATGTTTTACTGCTTGCTCTCATATTCTTTCCTAAAGTTCACAAAGATTACTGAATGTAGAAATATTTAAATCCAAATATGTTACAGCAGAAAGCACACACTTGAGTAGTCTTGGGTTTGTGATGAAGTATCTGAAATGCCTTTTGTATATGCTCACAATTTTTAAAACAGGAGAAATCACACTCACAGCATAGTTGAATTTAAATTTAAAAACAAAATTATTTAAGTTGAAAGGCTTCCAGATGACTAGAAAATGGGGATAAGTCAGACTTACATTTCAACTTGTCACATTCAGCAGCCTTTCCCAGGGAAACCATTTTATGTCTTCTGTTCTGGCAATCATCTTGTTCCACTAAATAGAAGAGCTGACCACATTCTGGAGACAGACATACCTTCTTTACAAACAAACAGTGCAATGTATTTTATTTTCAGAATTTTTCCTCTTGAAATATTATCACCTAGTTGTCAGTTTTGCCCGCTGTACCTCACTTATCATAACTGGTTTCAAATTTCAATTTAACAACAATGTAAGCTGTATCTTACCAGTAATTCATATGTTTGTTATTCTTTTTTTTTTTTTTTTTTGAGACAGAGTCTCTCTGCCACCAGGCTGGAGTGCAGTGGCGCGATCTCGGCTCACTGCAACCTCCGCCTCCCGGGTTCAAGCGATTCTCCCGCCTCACCCTCTCGAGTTGTTAGGGCTACTGGCGTGCGCCACCACTTCCAGCTGATTTTTGTGTGTGTGTTTTTAGTAGGGATGGGGTTTCTCCATGTTGGCCAGGATGAGCTTTATCTCCTGTCCTGGTGATCCACCCTCCTTGGCCTCCCAAAGTGCTGGGATTAGAGGCGTGAGCCACTGCACCTGGCCATGTTTGTTATTCTTGCAAAGTCCTTGGATGTATGTAAAAACATATTTCCGTTAAAAAATAAATCATGGCCATTCTTTTAATGTATTACAGTTGCTTTTAGAGTTTCTAAAATTACTAATAATAACTATAAAAATTATTTATAGAATATAATTTGCAAGAACGGAGTGTTTAATATCTAGATTTTTTTCCTAATGGCGTCATTCTGTTTTACACTGCGAGTATGAAGAAGGAAAGCCAGGTGTTTATATATATTATTATAGAAATGTCCCAACAGATCCATGTGGAAGATTTTTTTCTAGTATATAAAATAGCCCCATAAATGAGGGACTACAGAACAAAACAAAAATTCTCATTTGGTTCCTATAAAATTCTAGAGTAATTCAGTTAAATTCCACTTTCTGTGTAAATCCAGACAACTTACATGTTACTTATGAGGACACACATACACAAGTATATTAATTTTGTTGAATTATTATGTTAATAAAATAGCTTACAAAGTCATCAATAAGTTATCAATTGTAAATATCTATTTATGCATTTTTGAGTCATGAAAAAATACAGTGCTCTTTTAAAAATTCCTATCCTTTCTCCCAGATTTTCTTTTCTTTCTCTCTAGCGTCCTTCCTTTCTGTGTTAGAAAAATCAGTGCTATATATACAAATGTTTACTGACGAGAATCAGGAAAAAACAGGAATTAGGCAGATGAGAAGAAGCATGATTCAAATAAAAAATATGCCCATGAATTTTTAAAAATATGCTAATAGTCTACCAGTGGAGTCCATTACGAAATACACGTTTACCACCATCTTATTTTATTTTCCTATCTTATCTTATTTTCCTAAGATATCTGAGATAAGGGAACTGTAGAATACTAGGAACTATACTTGTTCTCTAAAACCTTATATTGAAATCTCATGTTTAGCATCTAATGACAGTACAAGCTTGGAAAAATTACTTCTTCCAATCTAAAGGATAACTAAGATTGGACAAAACTTTCACATATACCTTGTTCAACAACATAATCATGAGGTGATTGCACAGTTCTTTTTTAATAAATAAATTTTTATTATATGTAAATAATGTATAAATATAAAATATGAATTAAAATTTTATTTGTATATAGATAAATAGGACTTTACAAAATCAATATAGTTTTGGAAATGTTATACCCAGAAACTATGGAAAATAGCATTTTCGTGTCATTAAATTACTTAAAAATATTAGGCTTAAATAGAATATGAAAATTTAAAATAATAACTAAAGTTGTCTGTTAGTCAATTACCTAACTTTTATAATAAACCTAAACTTTTCTGGTATTCCTGTATCAGAAAATAAAATAAATTGAACCCAAAGTGAAATAAATACAAAAGCTACTTAAAAGATCATTTTCTCTCTATCTAATAATTTTTCTAAATTTGAGACATTTAGAAAATGCTTTTTTGAATATTCATCAGAAAAAATTAAATCAAATTTCTAATTTATAGCTCTACTCACCAAAATATGTAGGAAGTCCTTTATATTTTCTGTGATATATATCCTAGAAGGCATATGATTTAATTTGTGGTGCAACTTTTGAGATTAACAGAATCATCTCTTTTATATTTAAATATTAAAGCATACATTTTCAAATACAATATAGCTCCTATAATATGTTATACATAATTAAAAGGTTTTCCTCCTACCTGTGGAAATAAACTGCTCATTCAGTTAGGTACATGATAAATATTATGCATGTGGATTCTTATATCAGCTTCTCAAGTTCTTCAAGTCCTCTGGGATGCCCCATTGAAGAAACACACTAATTCTTTTCTGGGACAGATATGTATCAAGAATACTTTTAAAATAGTAAACAAGTGAATGTTTCTGGACTAATGAACTACATGATGGAAATGATTACATGAAGGAACTTTGGCTTCTAGTTAAAAAAAAAAAGTGATACTTAACTGGAAAAGAAATCTAATGATACAAGACCTAATTCCAGCTCTGATGCTAAATAGCTATACGTTCAGTAAGATGATAAATTCTCTAATTTCCAGTTTCTTTTTTCTGGGAATATAACATGTATATTCTCTGAAAATCCTGTATATATGTAATAAAATAATATGGAAGCATAACTTGTGACAGGATTTATAACCTTTAATCAAGTTTACTTATTTAATTTTAAAGGGCTATACTTCTAAGTTGTATGAGAAGCAGATTTAGACTCCTTAAGTGTTCTATCCTTTGTGAAGATATAAATATGAGCACATGAATAAGAAGTATTGACAGGATAAAGTACAGATAATAATATTTAATATATAGAAACTTAGAATATTGGAGCTCTTGCAGAGATAAAGGTCAAACTTTTTGAGTTGAATTTACTCTTGTCTTGGAGATTCTATATACTAATGTACAAGCTGCTATCTGGCTATGTACATAAGCAAGTCTCAGTAAAATTATGGAAAATACACAGATGTCTAGCTATGCTTCATACCCCGTAATTATAAATTGGTAGATAGAAAATACTGGTTTATGAAATCGGAATGTAAAATATAAAGAAAAGAAAGCTGATACTGGAAGGCAGCCTAACTGTGAACCATCTATTAATTAAAATCCCAAACAGATTTATAGATTCAATGCAATTATAGTTAAAATTGAGTAAGAATTTTTTTTGTGTTGGAATTGAGAAGTTGATTTTACGATTTATATGCAAAAGTAAAAAAAAGCTAAGGGAGTCAAAACAGTTTTGAAAAAGAAGAATGAACTTGGAATATTTACATAATCTGTGAATAGGACTGATTTTAGGACTTGCCACTAAGCCGAAATAACCAAGATGGTGAGATACTGAGTAAAAACATACACTTCAATTAATAATATAGAATAAAGTGTTCAGAACCAGATTCACACATGTATGGCCAATTGATTTCTGACATAATAAAAGGTAATCTTCATTGCATGCTCATCTTTAAAAGTGTGTCACTGAAAAGAATTCTCAGTGTCATTTTATATCACTTCATTCAGATATTGTTTCTGATATCCCCACATCATAAAGTTACAGTCTAGACCCTCTCTAAAGTACATCCGAAGCTTTCAACAACATCGTATTTCACCCCTTTCTCTGTCTTTTCTTCTCTTCATGGTGTTTATAGTCCCTGATATAAGTTTTCTATTTCTCCCCAAAGTAGGCCCAAAATTAATTTTAAATATATAAATACATGAATAATTATGAAAATTATTTTACTACTCCAGACTCAATATGCTCACCTGCAAAATAAAAAACTGTTCACTAGATCTATAGTTTCTAATTCAGTTGCCCTTCAAGAACATCTGGAGAATTAAGAAATGTAATAGCTTTGCTCTGCCTCCTTTGTCTACCAATGTAAATTTCTCTATTTAGATTCTAGGCATGTGTATGTGTGTTTTGTGGATATTTATGTGTGTGTATCTATGTATGTATATATGTATCTATATATACATACATATATATGTGTGTTTATATGTATATGTGCACATATTTATGTGTGTGTGTGTATACATATATATATATATACCCCCTATGTATAGGGCTGTGTATATACATAAATAATATATAAACATACATTACAGTAGTACTCCATTAGTACTCCCTGATCCATGGGGGTACTACTGTATTGTATGTTTATATATAGCGTATTTATGTATATACACTGCCCTATACATATGGCCACCACATCCATGGGGGTAACATTCCAAGACCTCTAGGGGATGCCTAAAACTTCAATAGTATCAAGGTTTATACAAGAATAACCATTTCTTTGGAATTTGCTTTATTGATCTTTGCAGATATTGTAGGGGTTTATTCTTTTTTGGAAATCAAAGATTTATTGGCACCATTTTCCCAACAATGCATACCCACTTTGTGTCTCCATGTCACATTTTGATAATTCTTGTGATATTTAAAACTTTATTATAATTATATATGTATGGTAATCTGTGATCAGTAATCTTTGATTACTATTTCAGTTGTTTTGGGGCATCATGAACTGTGCCCATATAGGATGGCAAACTTAATCAGTAAATGTCACGTTTCCTGACTGCTCCACAGACCTTCTCTTCCTCAGTTCTCTCCCTGACTTTGGGCCTCAATATTTCCTGAGACACAACAATATTGAAATTAAGCCAATTAATAATGCTACAATAATCACCAAGTGTCAAGTGAAAGTAAGGGTCACATGTGTTTAACTTTAAATCAAACCAGAAATGATTAAGGTTAGTGAGGAAGGCATGTCAAAAATCAAGACAGGCCAGCAGCTAGGCTTCTTGTGCTAAGTAATTAGTCAAGTGGTGAATGCAAAGGAAAAGTTCTTGAAAAATGTTAAAAGTGCTACTCCAGTGAACATATAAATGATAAAGTGTAATAGCCTAACTGCTGATATGGAGAAAATGTTAGTTGTCTGGGTAGAAGACGAAAGCAGCTGCAACGTTAGCTTAAACCAAAGCCTAATCCAGACCAAGATCCTAACTGTGATCAATTCTATGAAGACTGAGAGGGTAAGGAAACTGCAGAAGAAAAGTTGAAAGCTAGTAGGGGTTGATGAGAGTTCATGAGGTTCAAGCAAGAACTTATTGCCATAAAAGTGCAAAGTGAATCAGCAAGTGCTAATTTGGAAGCTGCAATACATTATAGAGAAGATCTGCTAAGATCGTTGATAAAGGTGGCTATATTAAACAACAGATTTTTAGTGTAGACAAAACAACATTCTAATGGAAGTAAATGCCATCTGGGACTTTCATAGCCAGAAAAGAGGAGTTAATTCCTGGCTTCAGAGCTTTGTTGAAAAAACAGGTTGATGCTTTTCTTAGGGGCTAATGCAGCTGGTGACTTTAAGGTGAAGCCAGTGATCATTTATCATTCCAAATGTCTGAGGGCCCTTAATAATTATACAGATTTGTTGTACTCTGCCTGTGCTGCACAAGTAGAACAAGCCTGGATGATAGAATATCTGTCTACAGCATGGCTTACTAAATATTTTAAGTCCACTGTTGAGACCTATTGCTCAGGTAAAATTATTTCTTTCAAAATATAACTACTCATTGACAATGTATCTTGTTGCCTAAAAGTTCTGATGGAGATGTACAAGAAGATTAATGTTATTTTCATGAATGCTAATACAACATCCATTTTGCAGCTCATGGACCAGGGAGTGATTTTAAATTTCAAGTCTTATTTTTTATTTATTTTTTTGAGACAGAGATTCACTCTGTTGCCCAGGCTGGAGTGAAGTGGCATGTCTTCTGGCTCATTGCAACCTCCACCTCCTGAGTTCAAGTGATTCTTGTGCCTCAAACTCCCAAGTAGCTGGTATTACAGGCACCTGCCACCATGCCCTGTTAATTTTTTTTTTTTTTTTAATTTTTAGTAGATATGAGGTTTTACCCTGTTGGCCAGGCTGGTCTCAAACTCCTGACCTCAGGTGACCCTTCCACCTCAGCCTCGCAAAGTGCTGGGATTACAGGTATGAGCCACCTCACCCAACCTTCAAGTTTTTATTTATTTATTTATATATTTGTTGAGAAAGAGTCTTGCTCTGTCACCCAGGCTGGAGTGCAGTGGAGTGATCTCAGTTCACTGTAACCTCTGCCTCCCACATGCAAGTAATTCTCCTGCCTCTGCCTCTCAAGTAGCTGGGATTACAGGTGTGTGCCATCATGCCTGTCTAATTTTGTATTTTTGGTGGAGATGGGGTTTCACCATATTGGCCAGGCTGGCATCGAACTCCTGACCTTGTGATCCACCCACATTGGCCTCCAAAAGTGCCAGGATTATGGGCATGAGCCACCGCACCGAGCCTCAAGTCTTATTTTTTAAGAAATACATTTTGCAATATTATAGCTGCCTTAGATAGTGGGTCCATTGATGGATCTTGGCAAAGTAAATCGAAAGCCTCCTGGAAAATATTCAACATTCTAGATGCTAGTAAGGATATTTATGATTCATGGGAGGAACTCATATTATAAATATTAATTGGAGTTTGAAAGAAGTTGATCCTAATCCTCATTTGCGACTTTGAAGGCTTCACAACTTTAGTGGATGAAGTAACTACAGATATGGTGGAAAAAGTCAGAGAACTAGAACTGGAATAGAGTCTGAGGGTGACTGAATTGCTGCAATCTCATGACCAACCTTGAAGAGATGGGGAATTGCTTCTTATGAAAGAGCAAATAAAGAATTTTCTAAGATGACATATACTGCTGGTGAAGATGCTGTTAACAACATTGGAATGACAACAAATAATTTAGAATATTCCATAAAGTTAGTGGTTTAGCCCATTTTCATACTGTTATGAAGAAATACCCGAGACTGGGTAATTTATAAGAAAATGAAGTCCAATGGACTTGTTGGGGAGGCCTCACAATTATAGTGGAAGGTAAAGGAGGAGCAAAGGCACATCTTACATGACTGCAGGCAAGAGAGAGGGTGCTGGGGAACTGCCCATTATAAAACCATCAGATTTCATGACACTTACTCACTATCAAAAAAACAGCAAGGGAAACATCCGCCTTTGTGATTCAATTACCTCCTACTGTGTCCCTCCCATGACATGTGGGGATTATGGGAGGTACAAGTCAAGATGAGATTTGGGTGGAACACAACCAAACC